TATCTTTTCAAAATCTTGGTGCTTCTTATACTCCAAAAAACACAGTAATTGTTCTGAACTTCCTCCTAACATTGGTGATCATGTTGGCAATCCTATTTTTATCAACAGCCGCACAAAAAAGTGTTGCTGAGTTTTGTCCAAAGTCCCTTAGATTTTGAAGCCATGATGTTCTTCTTCTGCCTGCATCTAGTTTGCCTTCAATCTTTCCCTGGAGGATTAAGTGAAGGAGGCCGTATTTTTCTGGGTGTTGCGTCACGTGTCCAAAAGATTCTAACTTTTGCTTTTTAATGGCTTTGATGATCTCCCTCTGCTTTCCCAGGCGGCTTATCACCTCCTCCTTTCTGATTTTGTCAGCCCAACTTATACATAATAGCCGCCTGTAAATCCACATTTCAAATGCTTCTAGTGTCTTCAAGTGGTTTTCTGTCAGAGACCAACTCTCCACTCTGTAGAGCAGGATAGAAAAGAGGTAACATCTGACAAGCCTGATTTTCAGCCTTAGGCTTATGTCGGGACTGCAGAAGACCTTCTCCATTTTGAAGAATTCTGTTCGAGCTTTCCCTGTCCTCTTTACTGATCATATCCCAGTTCTTCTGAACATGGTAAACACCTCGTTTGGGCAAGCAGAATTGTCTAGAAAGGGCCAATCCCCTTTTGGTGACCTGCATGGAATGTCTCCCAATTTCAGCCACGGGTTTTGTGGAAAATCACCCAACGTATTTTCCCATCGTTTGGCAGGAGGCTGGAAACCCACCAACAAATGTAGCAAGAATTCTAGAGGGAATCGCTCAACCTTTTCAAAAGAGAAAAAGCTTAATCTACTCCAAAAAGATAACTAAATATCCCACCCACTATCCATGTGTGTGGAGTGAACTCATTCATTTTGTGTTGGCTTTTGTGTGTCCTCCCCCCCCCCCCACACCCTGCCTTTCTCTCCTAGTAGCTGCTGTTTCCAGCAATCGGGTCCCACCAAGAGCTGAAAGGGATTCAGTTGAGAAAAAGCTGAATAGGCTTTTTATCTTTCCCTGCTGGCTTGAAATCCTTTCTCTGGGATTTCTCGTCTGGGGTGAGTTCAGAGGCTAATCTGCTTTTCCAAACAGATTTGCCACACTCCTATTATTTTGATCCTTGCGTGCTGTTGTGAAGAGCTTGTTAGTGTTGCATGGATAGCTGTGAACACGAGAGGGCAGCACAGAAATGCAGACTCACAAAAATCCCCTTTGTTGGATGTTTTCATAGAATCTAAGGACCTTGGAGGTCTTCTTCTCCAACCCTCTGCCCACCCAACACAACTGTCTCTCCAATCTTTTCTTTTCTTTTTTGATATATTTTTTATTGTACAATTTTCTTGATTATCTATAAAATGTCTATATTCACGATAACAGTATACCGTCTGGGTACAATCTTTAGTGAATACAGATAGCAAATCTTATACACACAATAGTTGTAACTGTTATTCTCAATACCTGTACATCTTCATCGTCACTTAACCTTGTTGAAAATGTTGTGTTATTTGATTAAGCCCTCTGTTCAACTTTATCTATAATTATCTATTAATAACATCAAGCATTATAAACATCACATTTATAACCATTCATTTCCAAATAATCGTATGTTTTACTGATCTTAATTATTCAATGTTCATTATTCAATTGCACAAATTACTTCATCTTTGTTTACATATCTAGATTTCTAACTTCTGCTGTTATTTTATACTCATGAATAGAATAGTGAAAATGCCACCACCACCCCGGACCCCTGGAGGCTCCCGGGAAGCCGAAAATGGATTGTTTCTGGATTTCCGGTTGGCCCATTGGGCCCGTTTTTCACCCTCCCCAGGCTCCGTTGGCTTTCCTGAAGCCTGGGGACGGTGAAGAATGGCCTCCCCTGACACCCCAAAAGGCTGAAAATCAGCAAGTGAGCACCGAAGCCGATGCTGGTAAATAGAGCTCCATGTGCCACAGAGGTGGGTTCCTACCAGTTCGCACCTATTCGGTAGAACCGGTTCGTCAAATCTACCGAACCGGTTAGAAGAGGTTCCACCAGTGGACCCGGAAAGCAGGCCACACCTACAGAAGAGGTTCCAAAATTTTTTTTAAACCCACCACTGACACACACACACACACACACAGAGAGAGAGAGAGAGAGAGAGAGAGAGAGAGAGAGAGAGAGAGAGA